TATTATCAAAAAAAATTTTTATCGTTAAAAAAAAAAGGGTTACATTTTATTACTATATTAAGAAAATCAACCAATCAGAAGGCGATTTCGTGATAATCACTTGGAAACAAATCCGCCCATATCAATAAACGTAATAAGTTAAAATAACTTTATTTACAAGAATGGCGGACTCTCAGCAACAGAATGAATACTCTAAAAGCTTATTTGCAAACAATTTGAAAGGCTTGGATGCAGTAAGATACTCAATTTATTTTTATTTTTATTTATGAATTTATAGAAAGTTTACTCAACGCGTCTTACTTTTAAAGTATTCACGCCATAAAAAGTTTATGAACGATTATGTTAACTTTTACGGTCGAAAGAACAATCAGGGAACTAATTCTAATGCAGAGAAGCAATACAAAAGTGAATTTGATATATTGAAAGAGAATCATAAGTAATTGAATTTATATTTGTTAATTCTTAAGCTTTGCTGGACAAATCCCAAATTCAAAAAAAATAATTGCTATTTATAATAATATTATAACTATAAGAATATATACCATTTAAGATTATTAATAAATTTTTTGAGATATTAATTTGGGATGGATTTGGGATTTGGGCGTGGGCGTGGACAAATTCAAATTATAGTAATTTGGCAACACTATTTAAATAAATGATTAACTTTTTTATAGATTTCTTCGTTCTGAAGAAGATGAATCGGAATTAACCTGGGAACAACGGCTTGCCAAAAAGTATTATGATAAATTGTTTAAAGAATATTGCATAACAGAATTAAAATATTATAAAGAGGGCAAGGTAAATATTAAACTTCAAATTTTTCCATACTTTTTTTTTTTTTCACTTTGAAAATTTATTTAACATGATTCACAAATAGATTGCATTACGATGGAGAACCGAAAAAGAAGTTATAATAGGCAAAGGTTAATGAACCATTTGCATTAATCTAAATAAAATGCCGAACATTTCATAATTGGTTATAATATCATTTTTTTTAGGACAATTAACTTGCGCTTCAACAAGATGTTCTGAAAAAGTTGATTTAAAATCTTGGGAAGTTAATTTTGCATATGTAGAAGATGATCAAAAGAAAAATGCATTAGTAAAGATTCGACTTTGTCCCAATTGCTCTTACAAATTAAATTATAATAAAATTCACCAAGAAGTGAACAAGGAAGAAACATCAGAGATTGGAGATGATGAACAGAATAAGCATGAAAACCGAAAAAGGAAATCTTATGATAGTGATCAAGAACGAGATTTCAAGAACGAAAGTAGGCAGGGTGTAGCTGATGGCAAAAAAGCAAAATTAGGTATTTTTTTTTTTCCCCTTATATAAAATGTATAAATCTTTATCCGTTTTTTATATTATGTTATTGATGAGTATATTTTAATCAAATTTCGTGTAGAAATGGGTCAAGAAGGAGAGTTCGATAAATATTTTGCCGGGTTATTTGATTAAATGTAGAAGATACCATTTGCAATTATATAAAAAACTAATAGTAATTTTTTTTTTCTTTTTAAAATTATTAAAAAAAATTTTATTAAATAACTATTTTTAAATTTCTAATTAAAAGTTGTAGAGTAGGTTTTTCTGATTTTAACAGTGGTAAAAAATTATAAAGTTTATGTATTTAAAGATTATAAAAATTATATGATACAAGTTTATTATTAATAAGATCATCGGGAGGAACATGTCCTCGCTTTATGTTGATTTATTTTTCCGGGATTTCCAGGTGTCGACTGAATTTACGATTAAATACTGCAATATTTTAGAATTCTGTGAAGTGCCACACAAAAAATGCGAGACAGATACTCGATTTTGATTGGCTAAGAGCGACGACCAGAAAATTAGGCCGGAATTAGTGAAAATCGATCCTGGGTCTGAAGCAGGGACGTGGGGATTCTGTGATTTACGGGAAGATTAAGGAATCATTATTTATAAAGTTTATAAATAATGATTCCTTAATCTTCCCGTAAATCACAGAATCCCCACGTCCCTGGTCTGAAGATCTTCGGCAGTTAACCAATCAAAATCGAGGATCTGCCGCTCAATAATTCAGCGCTATTTTTTTTAGAATTCTGTGATATTAACGTTAAGGGGTTTCAAAATTAAAAAATATAGCGTATTTTGGAATTTAAAAAATCTTATTTGTGTATCAAAATTTTGAAACCAGAAATTTAAAGACGAAATACGTAAAATTTCTTCATTTGCCACATTGGGCGTGACAGATCATTCCATGTGGCGAATAATAATTAGCTAATACAATTAATTAGTAAATGCTTATTCGTCACCTATAATTGACTAAATTTAACTTTCCCTGGTCGTTAATTCAAAGATTTTTTTTTGTACTAGCAGGTTTAATTTGCCAAATAAATTATGCCATTGTTGAATTATCGTGCAATAAATATTTAAATAGTTCAAGAGATGGTGCTATTTAGTTCATAGTTTAAAGATGATTAAATATTATTCTTCGTGATTATAGTTTTTGTTTTTAAAAGAATAGAATCATTAGTTCAGTAATTAAATTTCTCATTCAATTTTGTGTTTATGTGTCAGATTTTTAAGATTTTAAATAATTCATACCAGCAGTTTCAGACAAAATTAGTGAAAATAAAATAATCGGGCTTGGCTTAAGATGAATTAATTAATTTATAGTCAATTGTTGAAGTTTATAAAAGATTGTAATTAACAGATCCAAATTAAAAAGTATACACTGTAATAACAAGAAACGTTCCTTTCTAAATATATTATTTATTACAATAGTTAAACTAAGTCATAATTTCTCAAATAACGTGCTTATAATTATAGTGAACTGGTGATTAGGGTTACGCCCCAAACTTACTAGTTTGGAACCCAAATAGTATTCACAAAATACTCCTAATTTGCTGTAATATCAACCACTTTTGACATGTAATTTATATTATAGCTAAAAATCTCAAATTATTACATATAAAAATTAAGTTTTGGATTCATCCTATATACAACAAACTTTAGTATGTAAAATTAATATACTTTCAACTAGAATGCAGAAAAATTCGAGTCACTTATTAGAATCAAGATGTAGTGACTTAGTGTAGTGGAGCATAGTGGACAATCATCATTACACGAACTTTATAAATTAAAAATTTGTGACTCAGGACCGATCTGTCCAATAAAAGTACGAGGTAGATCAATCACACGAAATTAAACAATTGGTTAAATCCATGCACGTGATAATTGGCCAATCAATTTTTTATAATATTATAATTTTATTCGA